CGCCTTTATAGTGGGCAGACCGTGTGACAGCGCCAACATGAAAAAAAAACTCTGAAAAAGGATCAAGTTCCACCAAAAGACGCAAAAGAGAGCGTCGCTAAAGGGACGGAGCCCGCTGTATTAGTGCATAAATTCGCCTCTGTGAGCACCTTCGTTATGGAGAAAGGGTGTGAAAACGGCTTAACAATTTCCTATCAGTGTATCAGTCTTTTCCAGTTAGTATGAGTGCCCGAAATTGTCTTGGGCGAGTTGAGCTCACCCATAGCAGTTAAAGTCTGATTAAGTGAATTATGATGAGCGAGGTTGTCACACTGGCAATTCTTGAGATTCTGTGAAGGATATGCAGCTGACGCGTACGCTATTGTAGATCTTTATCCTGTGAGTACGACCTCACGTTTACTTTAATGCGTTTTTAGCTATGACGAAAGCGTCAGAGTGGGTGTTCCACGGTAGACGCAGCAAGCTTACAGTGATGGAGTGAGTAGAAGTGCTACGGAACTATGAAACTTCCAAATCGCGGCGAATGCGGCAGAGTAGACGTAAGTGGAGTGAACTACGCGGCGTTCGCCCGTACCTAGTCCGCACAACGTAAGGCAGCGTTCAGACTTCGCGATGTCAGCGCTTCGGTCGTCTTCGACGTGATCGATGCAGTCGAAAGCATGCGAATCGATCGTCGAATCGCGCGACCGAAGCGCTGCAGTCGCGATTCTGAACGCTGCCTTACGACACGCGCTTCAAGTCTAGCGCAACAGTTCTGAAACGCCCTGAAACGTTGCCTAACAGAGTGTTTGCCAGCGCGTTCGACTCGTCTCCCTGTTATGGGGCCATCTCTCAAGTCGCCTAGTTTTCTCTGCGGTATGGCTGCGGCTACTTAAAGTCAACAAGCTATTGAAATACTGCTGCTATATGCTGGCTATATGCCGCCACTTGGAAGTAACGTTCCACATCTGTGACACAATCCCAATTTTACTCACTGCTTTTGAAGACACATTTACGATCAGATGGTAGGTGCGATGCCTCTCACGCATTGGCAGTTCAGGTTCCGCAATGGCCAAAGTTGGTATACCATTATCCGCCATTCCAAAAAACTGTCTCACGATAAAGCTCCAGAAACAGTGTAGATTTGTAGGCGCTCGAATTGTGATAGCCATTCTTACTATACACACCCAATGAACCTGAGCATTGGCACAATCATTATGCGCGCTTTTGTTAAGCTCGTGAGCGCTCGTCCGGGGCGGATTGTCACCTATGACACCTTCGTTATTTTTCAGACTCAATCTTTTGACTTTTCATTTCCTGCCAACTCTGAGATGTAGACCATGGGTTTTCAGCAGCTATGTGAGCGACGAGCGATTTGTTGAAAGCTTTATATATTAAAGTAAACTATTTCTCTGTGTTAAGTGTGCCTCCTGCAGCTACCACTGTAATTTCTGGGCAATGTTTCCGGTAACGCCATGATAGTCTGTGTATAACAACGTCTTCCATTTCGGATTCAGTGCACTCCATTCATTAGCAACTTCGCTGAAATTTCGAAGAGTACTACAACATACTTCCAAAAAATTTTGAAGTGAAAGGAATCAGACTCACCGCATTTTTTGAGTGGCATCTCCTTGCATTGCTGCATATGCTTCCTCTACATTACTCAGTATCCGTTCTCTTTCTTCCGCTGTGTCGGCGCGAATTTGTGCACCACCGTTACCACAACCTATTCAATAAAATTGTTTTATTAAAGCATGTTTCTTTTTTGAAAATGGTACCCTCACAAATAGCCGTGAAGAAAACACTGACCATTAGGGCATGCCTGAACATCGACATAGTCATAGAGACTCTTGTTGTTTTTCATTTTTCGAACTAGATTTTGTATATTCCTGAAGCCGTAGACCCTAGCTACTCGCAAAACCGCTTCCTCATTTTGACGTACTGTTAGGACCTCGAGATTTTTCGCACTGTAATCACGTTTATTGGTCTGGGAAACGTAAAACTGCGTTAATTCTTTGCGGCAGCGTCCGCAGCGTCCTCTAGCATTCCGAGCTTCCGGTAGCGTCAGCGATCTTGGAGAGTAAGATGTCGATCTAGCGACCACCAGCGTCCAGCAGCGTCTCGATAGCTAATGAAGTATAGATATGGGTCTAGCATCTGCCAGCATTCGGAAGTGGAGGGTATGGCGCGAAGAGAGAGTAGCAGAGAGCTGGTAGAGTATGGGGAGATAGGAGGGTAGCAGACAGCTGGTATCCTCCTATCACACATACTCTCTACGAGCATTCTGCTGGTGACAGCTCCCCACGCTAGATCAATATCTCTACTTCCCTAGCCCTCGAGACGCTGCTGGACGGTTGTGGACGCTGGCACACGCCAGACCATTATCTACACTTTCCTAGTCGCGACGCTGCCGAACACTCAGAACGCTAGTTGACGCTGGTAGACGCTAGTGGACGCTGCCGCAAAGTATGAACGCAGCCTGAAGAAGATCTTGAATAACTCTGAAATGGAAAACCCACAGCCTCTCTTCTTTTACTTCTCCACCATGATGTGAAACAAATCTTCTGACGAGCATTTCTGCGAAGCCACCTGATGTTCCACCGGGGTTCCCGTAGAGGACTCCTAAAGAGTGCGAAATCATAAGAATAACATGGAGAAATTGAAAAAATATTCGCAAAGAAAAACCTCGGGAGAAGTCGCCCAACCAGCCTTCTACTTCCGATTCGGTTATGTTGTCGACGTCATCAAGCAAACTATCAACTTCAACTGAAAGCAAACATAGCACAGTAATTTATCACAAGTATGGTTGCTAGATACATATTTACAATTTCTTTTTTCCCAGATATGTGCCCTTTCATTTGAATTTCACCTTTCTGTGAAATTGATCATCTCTCTCCGTTTTGCTTACACCTTCCCTAAAAGGGATGCTAAGGCCTCAAGTTTTTGGAGCTCACAGTCAGAGACAAGTTGTACACTCAGCTCCGTGAATTGTGGCCCTGTCATAAAATAGGTGGGTACGCAGCTGCTGGGCGGAGCCTCCCACAGTGGGCGAGGCTTCATGTGGCAGATCCAAAAATGCAAAAATTTTGAAAAATATCAAAATTCCGCAAAAAGCAAGTGGGCGTGGCCAAGGGGGCGGAGCCTAAATTGCCAGTGCATAAATGCGCGGTACGAGTATCTTCGTTGTGCAAAGAGTGGATGTGAAATTAAAAAGTTGAAAAAGTTATGAAATTTCGAAGTTCGCAACAAACCCTTTAAAGAATGGGCGGAGTCGGCCATGTGTCGTGTTGAAAATCTATGTCCGCGCTGACAAGTAGGCGTGGCCGTCAGGGCGGGGCTCGCAGTGGTGGTTGGTGAGTTGCCCGGTCTGAAAAAAAATGGCGAATTTGATTTGAAAAGTGGTGAATTTGGTTTGAAAAGTGGTGAATCCAGAGTGATAATAGTATCTTTCTGAGCCATTGGATTGGAAGCATTAACCCCAATGTGAGCTGGTTCCGTAAGGCATTTTATATGTCCACGTTGCAGCGATGCGCGAAACCTAGCAAAGCATTTCATAGCAAGTTGCTTGACATGCTGGAGCATTTTCACGCTCTAGGACTGATTCCTCAGGTTATGCTGCGAGTGCCGCGTACGCGACGCAGTTTGCAACACCACTTTCATGGCCCTCGCAGCAACGTGTGTGTAGCGCCCCTAACCTCAGTTGGACGCAAGCTGCCGTTTGAAGTCGAAAGTCGAATGGTTGATACATCCATGATGGGTACGGTCAACGCAAACTTTCTAGTATTCTGCAGCCTTGTTCGCTGCGGACAGGGGCGTTCCAGAGGAGCTGGGTTTGGCAGCAGTCCACCAGTTGTGGCCGCCTGCCAGCTTCCACAATTGGTGGAGAGCAGGCTGACACCGCGCCAAACCAGCCCCCCCCCTCCCCTTTCCCGCACCCTCAGTCTGAATCTGATCGGACTACCCTCAATCTCTAGCACAAGCGGTTTGCAAGTTTTCACTGGGTCGTGACCTAATCTCATCACTTACACTTCATATCGCTGATGCGCGGTGGGCGTGGCCGCGCACTTCATTGAAAGGTGAGGATATTGCTGCTTGAGACGTCTTCCATCTGTCTTGTGTTGGATAATGATATCATTACGGCTGTGCAAAGTGAAAACACACCAATAAAGCGCACTCGCCACCACGTTAGTGCAGTGCGCAACCACCCCCACCGCATCTCAAGTATTCGGAAAGTAATAGAAGTAGAAGTCGTACCTGTACTGATGACACAGTCCGTTTCACGCACACTGTCCGTGCCAGGTACATAAAAATCTGGCCGAGAAGCTTCCAGTTTTTTATCAAAGCATGGCATCACAGCAGCGTGGTAGATGGAATCGACGGGTACTTCGAATCGACGAGAAAGGTAATCCTTCACCAGGGCACCAGTCACAGCTTGTGGAGACCTGGGATGAAACGAATTGTATGAACAAATATTAATTGAAAACCACCTCAGACTGCGTTCATACTTTGCGGCAGCGAACACCAGAGTCCAACAACGACCATCAGCGTTTTGAGCGTGCGTCAGCGTCAGCGACTTGGGAAGCATAGTTTTTGATTAGGGGACGGCAGCGTCTACGGGCGTCTGCCAGCGTCCACTAACGTCCGCCAGCGACCATCAGAGTCTCGAGGGACCAGGAATGTATGGGTATCGATCTAAGTCTACCGTCGTCCACCAGCGCCCAGGAGTAGAGAGCATGGGGAAGTGCGACGGTAACAGACTGCGGGCAGAGGATAGGAGAAGTAGGGGGGGGGACAGCCGGATTGGGCGTCGTGAAATCGCGGAGTATGCGTGCTACTACACAATATCGTACTACTGATCGCTGGTGGATGCTGGGAGACGCTAGATCGATATCCATATTTTTCTAGTCTTTCGAGACGCTGATGGACGCTGGTAAACGTTTGATCGATATCAATATTTTTTTGCTCCTAGAAACGCTGATGGTCGCCGGCGGACGCTGGTGGACGCTGATAAAAGATGGTGGACGCTGCCATTCGCTAAATCAACATACAGGGGGGGGGCAAAAAAAAGTCACTTCGACCGAGTCACATATCAGCAAAGTTTTCGCAGCCCGGAGAGAAGACGTGGATACGAGTAGCAGGAGTACCAGGGCGGAAGATACCCAAAATGTTCCTCGAAGCAGGAGCTGGCCCTCGCCCATCACCTTCATGTACACCAAAATATGAGGTCATCTCCAGTCGCAGCCTGACTGGAGAAGACCTTTGGAATTCATGTCACCTCCAAACAGCTGCGAAACTTCTAGTATGGAGTCACCCATGGATAGCTACCTGGAGACCAGTACTCTCGATTGAAAGACTTCCAATCATCGAGCAGCTCCGACAACGTCGCTACGGTCTAGGACATCATCTTCACGGCAGTCGCCAAGGCGCGGGTTGATGGTATGGACCGGACGCACCTGGAATGGAAAGACCAATATTTTCTTCGTGGACCCCGGGCTGAAGCTGAGCGCTGGCGGTTACATCGACCAACTCAAGAAGAATATCTTCCACATGTCGTCGCCCGTACCTTCTTGGAAACTTTGTACTGCTACAGCATTGGGTGCCACCACGTGGAATCGAAGGGCGTTGGAGAAACTCTCGCCTACCTGGAATGGAAGGGGGCTGAGTACCTAAAGAAGATGGAATATCCAAGTAGGTCACCTGACCTGAATCCCCTCAATTACCCGGTTCGGGCGGAGTTCAATAGGGTGGTCTACGGTGGCGGAGAAATCGACTATCTCGCTGATCTCAGGGACCACATCGCGGTTGCGTGCCAGAATCTCTCGATGGCGCTCCTCCAGAAGGCTGTGGCGGAGTGTCATAATAGTATTTAATATGCTCTTTAATATGGTGGTAGAAATGTCCGATCAGAATTTATAAAGTGTAACTTATAGCGCCTCGAAAGTCAATGAAGCAAAGTGACTTTTTTTGGGCCCCCCTTTATACCCTCGTCATCCGGGCAGTTGATTAGGGCGGTCGTCAACGGGCCGCAGCGCGTGCCAGGAACTATTTGCTTTTTCCAGGCTAATTTAGTCATTTTTTCCAACTTTTCACTGTTTTGGCTACTTTTTCCAAGATTAGCAGCTCCTTATCTTCACAAGGTGGAAAAAATGACTAAATTAGCCTGGAAAAAGCAAATAGTTCCTGGCACGCGCTGCGGCCCGTTGACGACCGCCCTAATCAACTGCCCGTGATGAGAGTATACTTTCCTAGTCGCGACCCTGACGGACGCTCGAAACGCTGATGGTCGCTGGTGGACGCTCCCGCAAAGTATGAATGCAGCCTCAGTAGAGTGTAAACCTAGAGCTTAGGCTGTGTTAGATGTGGCCATTAGGTGAGAATCCGATGCAGCTTACCTGACTTTGCTGAGGAAAGGCAGAAGGAAAGCGTCGTGACTCTTCTCTGCATAACAAACCAATCCTGGGCACGAGGAGACTAACAGCGGTCGTGAAGACCTTGATTCAAACTCATGATAAGCTTCTTCTAAGCAAAAAGATCGTCCGAAGGTAGAATCCACTACGTAATGTGCTCCTTAACAAAACGAATTAGATTCATAGTGAAGTGCTCAAAATGGATGAGCGGAGGAATGAAGAGGTCGACTTACCTTTAGAGAAGAAGTATGACGCTATCATTCGAGCCGCTTGAGAAACAGAGATTTTCCTCTTCACGGCAATTGAGCAGACACTTTGTGGGCAAACAGTAACCACAGAAATTTGTTTGCCAGACATCCCCTCCAGTAACCTGAGGGAAGGATCAAATGAGATTCGAGAGTAATACAACTTCAATCAACTGGTAGAAACTGAAGAAAGAACAGCACTATCCACCCTCAATATTTCCACTTTTCAGCACCCGAACACTTCTCTAAACTCGTCCCCTGGGAGTAGATTTGACCAGAGGTTTGCCCAGAGATGTGGTTTGATTCTTTGAACGTCAATTCTGTGTCTGGATATCGCCCCCGTTTGGTGCGAAAGCAGCTAGTGCTCGCGCTACAGGCGCTGCCGCTACAGTCTAATTTTATCACCTACACCTGCAGCAAAAAGACATTTCCACGCAAAAGAAAAGAACATATTCGCACTTAGAGGGTTAAACCAACTCGTG